AACCCTCAGTGTCGCGCCCGCACTGGACCGGGACCGGCAACGGGATTGCAACCCTCGGTGTCGCCCCCGCTCTCGCTCAGCCAGTGAGCAGGAACCGGTCTGTATGTGGGATCCGAACCCTCGGCGGGAGCGCCGCCGCGCTTCCCAAGCGGCACACTGTAGTAGTGCGCCACCGGGCCAGCCCCTGAAATTCATTTTCTGTTTTGAAGTCACCCCCCCCCCAAGAGCCCCTTATTTTGTTCTCTGGACACTTTTTAGAGCACCCTGTTCTTGTTTCATGACAGCTCTTTCTTATTTCTGAAGACATCAACGACCATTTCTTTTTCTAAAGCTTTCTTCTCTGTCCCTCCATGGTCTGTTTTCTCCATGGAGCCTGTCTTCTGTTTGTTGCAAGAGGTTTCCCTTAGAGGAGCTGCAATCCTTGGCTGTCTACTTACATTTATAGGTGGGGACCATAAAGACGAGTGGAAGCTCCCAATACACCAAGGGAGTTTGTGGGCTGAGCTGCTCTGTAGGGTGACCTGGCCGGGTCGCGGAGTTGGGGGACTTCTGATGTCAGTTCAGGAGCAGTGCTCCCCTAACCCGGCGGCGAGGCTCAGCAGCTCCTCCACAGGCCTCATTCTCTGAATGCTCCGCAGCTATGTTGGAGATGCTTTGTCCCCAGCAGGAGCCCAACCTCTGGCCTTGCAATCTCCACTCCCCACGGCTCTCCTGGCCCCGCTGTCGGTGTGCCACGCCTCTCTGTTGGGAGCCATCCATGTCTGTGACTCTGGCAGCCTGGCCACGCCAGGCCTTTTTGGACATTTGGATGTGTTTCCTCTCTCGAGCCTTCCTCATCTCATCTGAATTCTCATGGCCCTTGCTAACTGGCCTCCAGCTTCCTGCCTCTTGGTCGGTCACTGCTCAGTGGCCAGAGCAGCTGCAGTGGCGTCTGGTGCTGTGTCTCTGCAGATACCTTGCTTCCTCTGGCACCTGCGCCCCAGCTTCTTGCCCATCCCTCTGACCACGCAGTTGCCCAGGAGCCCATTCTGCAGCGTGACACCTTCCTGATGGGGCCAGGGAGGCACCTGCGCCGAGCTGCAGCGCTCACAGTTCTTTCCTACCTGGAGCTGGAGGGGCGCCGTCGCTCCCCCAGAGGGTCGGCATGAGTCACACAGCCTGAGCTCTTCACCTGTGCCAGACCCACCGCCCGTGCCATCTCCGCCGGGCTCCGGGAAGCCGGCTCGACCGCCCTGGCTGGGGTACACCCACCAGCCTCTAAACTTTGCCAGACCCCTGTCATGTAGTGAGGTTGTTTGTGTCTGTCTCCCTCTCCTACGGTGGCCCGAGGTGGCCGCTGGAGAACAAGCCAGAGTCTGGCTGTGGGTCCTGGGCTTTGGCCTGCGATGGCACGCACGTGCTTTGTGACAGCTGAAGGAAGGAACACAACCTCCCTTCAATGAGGTTTTACATTTCTCACCCCTTTGGTCAACAGTGCCCTTAGCTTGGGGCCCCAGAAGAGGCTGTCCCTCCCATTGGACCCATGGACATCTGTCCCACCAACGCACTGCCCTAGGATGATTGAATGATGTTTGTTAAATGAGTAAATAAAGATGAAGGACTGAGGGTTAGTCAAGGGGCAGGATAGTTGGGCCGTGTGCTTTGAGCCCATGAGCAGTGGCTGTGGCGGATGGCAGGTGCCTGAGCCCACCCTGGCAGGGCACAACTTGCCACCGCATCTCGGACAGAGACCAGCTCCTCTGTGGGTGCGGTTTCCCCTCTGTCAGCTGGGATGGGCAGACTGGGCTGCTGTGGCCTCTGTGGCTCTAGGTACCATGAAGGGCCGCAGGGTGAGGTGAGCCTGTCCGGGGGAGCTTTGAGCCTCGCATCTGCCTGCCGGCCAGTCCAGGCAGCAAAGCTCTTCCCTGCTGGCCCATCAGGTGACTCCTCCCTGCGGCCACATTTCAGGAGGCAGGAGGGACTCAGAGACGTGGGGGGACAGAAACACAGTGGGGTTCTGACCTGCCACTCTGGCTCCTGCTTGGCATCCTTAGGCTCCCAAACAAGCTGGGCCAGTCAGGAGAGGCATCCAGTCCGGGTCTGTGCAGCTCGAGGGGGAGCCTGGGACTCTGATCATCACCTCCCTGAGGGCCCTGCTCTGCCCTTGGCATCTGGGTACTGTGGGAGGCCCCTTGGGGACAGAGACAGCCTGAGCCTGACTGGGCCACTCCTCCTGAAGGGAGGGGCAGTGTTGAGGGGAGGGGGACAGGGTTAGGATGTTTCACCTTTGGGGTGCTCCCAGGGGCTGCCCGGGCCAGAGAAGCACCCAGAAGCCTTCTGCTCACCACAACCTCAGCTATTGTGACTTCCGGACACTTGCTTCCAGGAGAATGCTCTGGCAACGGGAGCACAGAGGGGACAGTGGCCTCTGAGATATCTTAGGGGTGGCAGGAAGGACGGACTGCAGGCTGCTGAGGCAGGGGGGAAAGGACAGATGGTGGCAGGATAAAAGCATCCCTGCCTGGTCACTGGGAGGCAC